TGATTTGTCCTAAAATGTCACTGCGTGTAATGAATTTTCCTATCAGAGAGCCTAAAAGATGAAATTACTAGCTTGTCAGTGACAATTTGTATTGAGAAAGGTTTGGAGAAGAGGAATAGAGGTATATAGACGCTATAGAAGGCTAAAATAAGAATTCATAAACTTCTTTTTAAAGGTGTACCTAATTAAACGGATGCTTACTGTATTTGAGCTTTCCATGGAAATTCCACAATTTAGTCGCAGACGTATATTTGATTTTCCTCATGAATGTGGCAAATTGAAAATATAAATCGACTTGTTTCAGGAGATTTCTTAGAAATAGATAGTTTGGCTAAGAAATATTTTATTCGGTACTTTACGAAAGCACTGATATTATAGAACTTCATCTGTTCATGACCACCGAGTATCATGCATTCAATATTAGGGCGTTTGACATATGAGTTGGCAAAATATTGTGGATCCGTATAGGGGAAACGAGAGAAATATATTAAGTTCAGATTTACAGTTATGACATCGAGCATATTTCATTTGACAATTCTGTTACAGATGATTGATATATTAGTGTGCCGGGCTATTCACATCTCATATTTATAAATTTGGCCGAAATTCTGACCTCCATTTCATGGCTTGCTGCTTCATTCATTTCTGAATAATGAGCGAACAGAATGTGAACTGAAATTTCAATGTATCAATTCAAATGTATACAGGGTGTTTCTGAATCTGAATGTCATATATATTGAATGATGTTATTCCTTGGCAGATCTAATTCTCGCTATACGTACAGCCTAGCAGTTAAAAACTTCAAATTTCACATTGATTATTTTTTATTTCAATATCAAATCGTCGTTCTTCCTAATTCTAATGAAGGTTCATTTAGAACATTCATTGAGATCACTGGATAGCCATAATATTATGAGAATTTTGTCGCACTAGAATAATCTGGACTGGAATATCTGGACCAAGTATAGTTGCTCAGAATCGTGCTGCGAACTTTTGACTCATTTCGTTTCATTTCAATCGATCATATTTTTTGTTTTGATCAAGTATATTCAAATGGGTGGAAGTTTTTGTTAGTTAAATGTCAATTCGAACACCTGAAATATAGATAGAACTTAATTAAAATGTTCTAAGTGCCAGATAGACTTGATTCAATTAGATATAAGTATGTGTATTGTAATATGTTGAAAGAAATTGCGGCACATAGATTTTTCTCAAAAATATATTCCGAATTATCGAAATGAAGTACAAAATGACTGATTCAACAAAGATCTTTCAAAAATGCAGCGAAATAGTTCCTGTCAGTCTCGTTTATGCAGCTCATCTTTTTTTAATTGCGTTCACCTTCTCTCAATGCAGCAACTTGGAAAAAAGGAATATTTTTGTATTGGAGTCTCTTGGCACTTTCAAAATCTTTGAAATCGGTAACTTCAAGTTTAATTCAGGTTTTCTTTTCAATGTTCGACGTGGAAAATAGGCAGGAAAGTTGTTGTATTCTGTCGAATATTCAGAATGATATTATGTACATATCTTCATATGAATGTAAATTCTATACTTCAGAAGATTTTGTTTTCATTTCAAATTCTTATCGTGTGTGTTCAAAAGAAGTAATTCAACGTTCGTCGTTGCATATAGTCAGGAAAGTAGCTGTTTTCTGTTAAATAAACCGAGAAAGAATATATATACATCCATTTGATTATGTTCATGATTATATCTGAGAATATATCTTTTCAATTAATTAGATAGTACCATGATAAACCAAATTACCTACGTAGTTAGGATGTTGTAACATCGAATTCAGAGGGAAACCTTCTGTAGATGAAACTCAGATTGCTATAGTTAACCTCTCAAAATGAAGAATTCAGCAAATAGAACCCTGATATAGCAAAATCCTCATCTCAAAGCCCCTTATTATTCTAGGGCGACGATTTGTCAGTCACCGACCTTACCTACTGAATTTTGGTATTGTGAAAGCTTTTACAGGGTGATAATGGAGAAAGGTAATCAACATTTCTGACGTCTACACCATGAATCTCGAACACTAAAGGTGGATTCATGCAACATCACTTAATTTATCTTAACTTAATTCAATATGATCGAGTATACAAAAATGGAACGAGCTTTCAAGCAATCACTTAACTTATCTTAATTTATCTTATCAAGTTCGTCCAATTTTATCTTTCTCTTAAGAATCTTCAGTAATTTTGCAAGTGCGCATGTGCAAGAGCACAGAATCATAAAACACGAGAAGAACGAAGACTACTGACAGCAGTGACAGGAAAAACAAATATAACCCTACTTTGTTTTCTACTTTATAAACTGTGAGACAACGATTCTCAAGTTGGATTTTATTCTCGGATTTTTTCAAACAAAAGAAAAAAATGGATGATGCAGTACTCATAGATCTTGTGAGGAAATTCACTTTTATTTATGATAGAAGTCATGAAGACTTTGAAAATAAATTATGCCGAGAAAACGTCTGGACAACCAAGGAGGTGTTCTGGATGTATATGGTAAAAATTCGATGTGTTTCATCTATTCTCAGTATCTTATGAAAACGAAACAAATGAAACAATGGTGAATTGACAAGTGATAGAATGTCAATATTGTCAATGTCATTCTATCAATGTCAATTTGAAGATCTGCGCATGCGTATTGGGCACTAACTTATGTGTAACATGAACTAGACATTTTTTCCTGAGTATAATTCATAAGTTAAATTATATTAAAGATAGATTAAGTCTAGTGATGTTGCATAAATCCACTTTAAGCAATACTACTCTTCGAGACATTTGATTCAATCATACAAGTTTATGGGAACTTTACTTTTAATTTTCGCATCGCATGTAGAATTTTTTGATTGGAATCTGAAATACCCTGTACCCGTTCTATAAGACATGATTATCGTGTTTTTTCCTTCGATCCGTTGCGTACTTTCCACCTTGTTGGCTGCGTCTCACATTCTCACTACACAATGTATTATTTCGCTCCGCAGGTTTTTATTTCGCACTGTTCTTCACATGCAGCGCGAAGACTCGAAAATCCGTCAGTATACGGATATGAAAAGGAGTTGCATTGCATGGAAAATGTACTGTTAGGATCTACAAGCAAGCCCTTTGTCCTTCGCCTTTGTCGGTGCGATAAAAATCCCTTCACCCCTTCGGTGCGGATGATTGAGGCTTTCTAGATCTAATTCTGATTACCACTTCTGTTGATCTGCAAAATGCGCTCGCAATCACTAAAATCATTCTGAATATAGGTACACTGTATCCAGAAAAAAATTTGATCCAGACGTTTTTGCTGAAATAGGTATTTATCTCATGGACCTCTGACCACAGGCATAAGGCATATTATTATTATGGAGACTTACGAATACGAAAAAATATAATTATGTATACCATGAATAATCACGAGTTAGACACTCATTGAATATTTTCGTAATCGTTTGAAATAACTCTATCCAATCCAGTATCGTTGAATTCTTTATGATGATCTCAAACCAAAAGTTGTGGTCGTGCCCGGTGAAAGTGTGAAAGTGGAAGTGATGGGAGAATATGAAAAATTGCAATCTAATTCTCTAATCCTACACCCCTGCCAAATTTCAATCTCATACCTTTAGGAACTCTGGAAACCATGGCTTGTCTAAATATTTCGTATACTGACTGTTTCCGAAATGTTAGTGATGAATGACATTTGGTGTATGAATGCATGTTTTGGGGTTTTTTAAATGTAAACTCACAACTTACTTAGTTGAGCATCCAGTATAGTTTACATTGATTCTTCCGGTCGTTCTGGCATAGTGGGCAATACAGCCCATATTATGATTATGATAAACAACATTCCATGGGCGTAGAACTTGATTTTCTTCAGTAAATAAACATCTGAAACTTCTGCGCCAATGGAAAGGAAGAGGTTTAAATATGAAATTTGGATTGCGTAACTTGGTCAGTACAAAAAAAGTGCACTCGATGAAATTCGATTACTGTCTTGGTTTCGACAAAATTTGAATTTTAGTAATTCAGAGCATCAGTTAACATTGAAATGACTAACATATATGTCATGAAAATTGTTCGAAATGTTCATCATTTTCAGTATTTTCACGTATACGACGAAAATATAAGAGGAATAACAATAAAAGGCTTCGGCTCAGTACAGTATAAATAACGAAAAGTAGCTGATAGCAGATTTCGATCTCTTCCGTCGTATAAATCGTTGCATACGTGCAAATGTTAATGTTGACTCATGCTCTAATTTACTGAAATTCAAATATTGTGGAAACTATGAGTAATCAAATTTCATCAAGACTATACTTATTTTTAGTAATTGAGTTACAAAATCTAAATTACATATTCAAACCCCTTTTTTTCCATTGCAGTAGAACTTTTGGATGTTTATTTACTGAAAAAATCAAGTTTCAAGCCGTGAAATGATATTCATCATGATTATGCTATGGGTTTTTCTGCTCAATAAAACTAAGCTAACGTACCAAATTTGAGTGATATCTCACGAGCTGTTTCAAAGTTATGGAACAAAAATGAATAGAAAGTTGTAACTTCTGAGCCATCTAGCGCCTAAACTGAGCAACTTTGTTCTGAGCTAAGTTCGCTTGTCGAATTTCTTTGGTCTGAGGAATATGTAGTTGTTCATTATAAAGACCTCAAAGGGACACCCTGTATAAATTATGCAGGTATATTACCTATCATCAATATCTGAATAAATCCTTCATTTTATATCACACATGTTACAGCCACATTATAATCATGAACAAAGCAGAAATAAATATAACTTTCAAAAGCTTCCAGTGACACGGGTGAAATGTCAACAGAATTATTGTAAAAAACTCCCCCTTTCAGAACAAATCGAAATACCCGAATGGGCTGCACATTTCCTTGTTCTTTCAGAAAATAACAAAACGAGAAAATATATCACAGTACATGTTTTCACATCCGTGAAAATCGACGGAAACAGCCAGTTATTGGCACCCGAATACGTATCAACCTTACCTCGAAACTTATTTTTCCTGTTTGTTTCTTCTTCATTGTATTAAACACATAGTGGGCATAATTCGTTGCATCTGAAACAATTCAATGGAGTTAGTTGGGATAACAATGAAACGACAGAAACAAAAAAATCTCAGACAAAATTTAATGAAAACCCACAGACAGGCGCGTATACTCGTTTCTATCTTGAGGAGTGAGTATAATTTCAGTATGTTACACAAAATCTTGTATCATGCGAATAAAAGCAATCAGATGTGATCCTCCCACGGTATAATGTCTTAAAACATAAATGAGAAATTTCTGTAAAAATAATTCTTTTGATAAATAATAATAATAAATAAATATATACTTATAGGAATTGTGAGTCCATAACAAGAATGAAAATAACGCAATTTTCAACAAAAACGACTGCCAGAAATAGAAATAGAAAAATACTCTAAATGCAGAGGTTCTAGATATAATACAATGCGTTCCACTTTAAGAGCCGATAATTCATTATTTCATAACGGGTCGCCTGATTTTCGATTTCCAAATTTTGTATAGTATTTTTGGATGTATGACAAATTGATATTTATTATACAGGACGTGGAAAGAAAAGCAAATTCTCAACTTCAGAAGATTTTGTTCTCAAATTCTTATCGTGTTTGTTCAATAGATATATTTGAATGTTCGTCGTGGCATATAGCCAGGAGAGTAGTTGTTTTCTGTTCAATAAACCGAGAAAAAATTCATATTTTTATCACATAGAGAATGCGAATTCTCAATGTATTCCTTTATACATATCCATTTTTTATGTTCATAATTTCATTCGAGAATATTCCTTCTCAATATAGCATATAGTATATTCCGAAAGCTCCACATCCTGGTATTTCAAGATTCGCCTTCCCTATTCACCTACGATAAGTAAAATCCCAAAAATTACGAAACATAAGGTATTTTTTATGAACACTATAAGTATATCATTTTTTATCGTTTTTTGCACTTGAGTTGTGAAAGCTCGTTATATTTAAGTCACCATAGATGTATTTGGCTTATTCTCGTATGAAAAAGGTGGAAAAAAGACTAATTTGATTTAGTCATTTTGTTTATTTTTTTTATGTTTAGGTTCCCACGGAAAGAGATATCCTGTAATGTTCAGAAAACATTGTGAGAACCAAGGGAAATGAGGTAGGAATTGGTGTTCTTCTTGAATTTCTGAAGGTTATATGCCTTGGGGAACACCCTTGGCAATGTGTTCCAGAGCCTCGCTGTTTGTTGGATGAACAAGTCTTTGGAAAGAGATGTTCTGCATGTCTCAACCCGACGGATTAATCTCGCGGGGACTGCCAAGGGAGGAACAATTGTTGATATTCCAGAAGAGCATCGTCCATGTAAATATCTATAAAATAGAGCCAGATCACCAACTTTTCTTCGGTGTTCCAGAGAAGTGAGTGAATTTGTGAGCGAGGCATCACCCACGAGACGAATTGACCTTTTTTGGACAGAATCCAACAATTTCAGGGAATTTTTGAGTGCTGCACTCCAAATATGGGAACAGTATTCCAGGACAGGTTGGATCTGTGCCTTATAGATCATAAGCAGCTGCGACTGGAAGGGAAACAGCTCCTGGCCCGAAACAGAAAACCAAGTTTTTGGGATGAACTTTTAGCAATTGATCTCACGTGATTTTCCCAAGAAAGGTTATTGCTGATAGTAATACCAAGCATCGAAATGGATGTCTTCAAAGGTATGGTTACTATTGACAAGCTTATGTTAGGCACAGTGATATCGGCTTTTCTAAAGAAAAGGCATGCTTGTGTTTTGTTTGCATTGAAATCTACCAAGTTATTGGATCCCCATTCGAGAATTGCTGCCAAATCCATATTTATATTGTCAACATTTCTCCCATATCAGTATTAGGCTATGGAAAATGCGGATCTTGATACTGAGGTATATAAAATTCATCAAATTTTCGAAAATCGGCCGACCTCTTGATGATTATTACCAAATGAAAATGAGCATTGTAAATTCAAGAAACTAATACGGACTTCGTTCATTTCGGTTATTTTAGGAGCCAATAATATTGTGTCTTTATATGGAATTTAGGAATATTATACGAACCCTGTTCGAAATATGAGGCGATAAGGAAATTTGCCACATACTATATATTTTCTTTGTGCTAAAGCACCTCCACTTTTGAGAATATGGATAAGTTAGTGTAGGTATAATAAATTATCTTCACTTTTTCGAATTTGTTCTGATAAGCTCTGCTTCAGTTTTCAATACGAAAAATCAGTGATCTCGCTGATCGACTATCTATCTATACCATCAGACGGAAATTGGAAAGGGCTGGGAGGCTGTTTTCATGTTAGTAGCTCGCCTTCAAAACACATCAATTTTCCTTTTGAAAACCCCTAACCTAGGTGGAGAAGTGTGAGCCATTTTTGGCCATTACGAGACCCATAAATCGCGCAATAAAAATTGTTCTCTATTTCCTTTCCAGAAGCCGAAGCATGAATGATAAATTTCCCTGAACTCACATGGCTGACACATTGATAAACGAACCGAGCATAAAATAAACCCAAGAAAATTAACTTGTTGCAGGTTATTTCCTTCATGTTTTCGCCGAATATTTATTACGCTCCCCAAACATATTATTGCAATAAAGAATGTTAGCTGGGTGACATTCCCCGTTTTGCCGCAATTCGAAATCCCAAGATCATTAGTATTGGATACGCTCGTTTCCTGTAGAAGTCCCAGAAGATTGTGATGCAGTAAAAACACAGGATGTTTGTTAAATTGTAGATTGGAGACCACGTTGCCCTAAAACAAGAACGGCGAACCAACGTGGCCAACTAATTTATACATGCAATGATAGTAGTCCTTGAGTCATGCTTATTGCCTGAGCAAACATATCCTTGAGCCCATGAATCTGACTGCTACAGACAAGAGAATTTCTCAGTCCTTTGACGATGTTATTAATAATAATCAGAAAATATTGATGCATTATGTGTATACACGTCTGGCAAGCATCATTTTTCTATAGACAAACTATGTGCATTCTAACGAAGAGAGAAAAAGGCGACGTTATACGCTTCGTATCGCGTTAACCCTTCCCTTTGAGCGAGTACATTTCAGCGCGACCGAAGGGATGATCTTTTGCCACACGTTCCATACTCAAGTAGGTGGGGCAACGACGTTTGTACATGGTTTCTCTATAGGAAAATTATTCTTGCCAGACGTGTATATCATAAATGCGTTCATTTTGTTTAACACGATAGACAGGATGTTGGATGATTCCAAGATTGGAGCGATAAATGAGATGGGTAATAGAAGACGCAAATACGAGTCGATATGGAAGTGAATTTTTTTTTCAGAGAGATCAGTAGCACCGGAGGCATCAATGGTTTCGCATTGTAACGGAACGTTAAATATTAGTTCATAAAATGTGAGATATGGTGAGAGTAGTGTGATTGTTCTTGAAAAAGGACAAAACATTTTTTTTCTTTTTTTTGATGATGGATAAATTGATATTCTTGGAAAGAAATTCTGAATTGAGGAAACCTAATCACGAATCTGCGATTGAGGTCTATAAAAATAACAAGTTTCCAATTCAGAATTTCTTCCCACGTCCTTTATAAGGAATATTTATCATACATCCAAAAACAGATACCCAGATGACAGGAGTATGTCAACAAATCATAATTCTCAGATATCAGTTCGTTATAGTTTTAGTTACATTATAGGGAAATGAAAATTGTATATATCATGAAGGATGGCTGAAAGAATAACTGGACTTCAGGTTACTGATGTGGATTTGATATCCAAAATGAGTTTATTCGAGTGGAGTCATATAACCTGTTTGTGAGAGATATAATTCCCATATCACTGATAGAATTGATTTTTTTTTGGAAGTTCCAAGCTCATCAAGATCAGAGTTTATATCTGAAAATATTCCTTTTCAACAGGACAAAACATGTTTTTCCTATGATTTATTGTTTCATCATATCTTATTCAACCACCAATTTTATTCCTCGCTCCATCCTTGGGTATACCCAGTGGTTATGAGGTTTTTGGAAATCAGGAAATTCATTTCTACCTATTGCCACTCGGTTAACATTCTGATGGCGCATTCAGTGTCGTGGGATGAATTATGTGGGCAAAAAATATAGAGCTATTATGGAAAGCGAACAAAAGTTCTTCATTATACGAATCAGGTCGAGAAATAAGCAAAATGGAGAATAATAAAGTAATTGGAGTTCATTGATACAGCAAAGACGAGGGTTCGAGTTTCACTCTATTATAACTTTATTTCGGCCAGACTACATTTGGGTTGGAAACTTCGTGCACCTGTTGAAATATTGACTTTTCATGTTCAGTTACCTACACATTCGACTACTCGCAGAGCTTTTTGATTGTAAAAGTTAAATGGTTCGATAAGGTATGTTTCTCCCTTGTTCTATATTTTGTGTTCTCAGATCCAGAACATAAGAGAATAGCTGTATTTTTCAAACCACATACTCAAAGAAAATATACGAGTTTATAATATCAGGTTAAAAATTTTGTGATTGAGAGTCAGGTAGGTAGTGTATACCTGATTGACTGAAGTGTGCAATACTTCAATCAGTTGAGTCAGTTGAGTATGACTCACAAATTTATATAAAGTATTGGACTAACAGGAGTAGTAATGAGACTCATCAAAAAATTGAGTGATCAAAAGAAGAGGATAAATAACGTAGATCTTCGTAACTGTGTGACATATACAGTGTGTCCCACTTACCATGCTCACCATGGGTATCTTTTCAACGGTGATAGATACGAGGTCGGTTAAATGACACCAAATGTGGAGTTTGTCAAGGCCAACTATGATGTGAAAAAATATTTTGATAAAATCTATTCGTTTTTGTTTTATACGCAAAAAACAGATTTTGATCATTTTCTCCGACCTCGAAAACCCCCACTCACCAATTTTGAATTGAATCGGACCAAATCTTGTCCGCCATCTTGGAGCAGCCATTTTTTTATTTTCAACAAAAATTCCATAATGTATTGTCACCGTAATTATGAACACCTGTCAAATTTTAAGTTTATCGGAGTTATGGAATTTTTGTTGAAATTAAAGAAAATGGCTTCAAGATGGCGGACAAGATTTGGTCCGATTCCATTCAAAATTGGTAAGTGGGGGTTTTTGAGGTCGGAGATCATGATTTATTTGTTAAAATTTATAAAGTCAAGATGGCGGCTTCCAAATAACTCTTTGTTTTTGTATAAATGACGATAACTCCGTTGTTATCAACACAAAACTATTACTGCGACATATCATCTGTAAGAGAAAATAAAGTTATTTGTAACTAAGTCATAGTGAGCTATGACCTTCATTTGAAAAACTGAAGTTGGTGCTGATATCTCAAATTCTAGAAAAGTTGGCATAAATTTCATATTTCTTTCGAAATCACTTTGAAAAACTGCCTTGAGAATGTGAAATTCCTATTTGAATATTTTCATAAATAAAGAAGTTACGGAGGAGACATGAAAATGATCAAAATCTGTTTTTTTGCGTATAAAACAAAAACGAATAGATTTTATCGAAATATTTTTTCACATTATAGTTGGCCTTGACAAACTCCACATTTGGTGTCATTTGACCGACCTCGTAACTCTCACCGTTCAAAAGATACCCATGGTGAGCATGTTAAGTGGGACACATTGTATACTGATATTTCAAGTAACTTTTCTAGATTCTTGGGCTCTTCTCTCCTCGGTTGTACAAATGAAAATATGAGTATCATTTCCATATACATAATTATGTGTAGTGAGGATACATCATATTATTCGCTTCAAAATGTCAAAGATGGACAGATATATGGAAAAAATATCAAACTTTCACTTTGGACGTTTCGGAAACGAATCTGCTTTCGTTATCTACATGGAAATGGAAAGTTATTCTTGCAATGATTTTCTCTTGCTCTTTGACACTTCTCAGTGGAGGATGATAGGAAGAAGAATGAGTTACAGGGTGTTCTTAAATCCACCTCAATACTCATCAAATTGTCCTTTTGTACATACCTATATTGATATTGAAATAAAACGCATATTTTCATTTGTAGGGACTAGCACCAGTGCCGGATTTGGGGGGGGGGCTATGGGACTATCAGCCCCCGGCGGTGAATTTCAAGGGGCGGTAGAGAAAAAGGGAGAAGAGCGTCAGCTGTGTCTTGGACGCTACAATACAAAAGCGGCGGCGGTACGTCTTTTATTTGATGATGTGAAGAAAAACCGCATTCTACTCAGTAGAGTAGGGGAAATTTCGTGATTCGTCTAACTCAATAACAAAAAACAAAATCGGAGTTCAGTATTTAATAGGTTGTCGTTGGTATTGTTGGTAATGATACTTAATAATAAATAAATATTGAAACTGAAATTTTAAAAAATGAGTAAAAGAGATGGTGGTGCATTCTGAAGACGGCAGAAGATCAATAAACAAAAGCATTTAGACGAAGTTGTCGAGGCATGCCCTAACATACATTCATTCATTTCCAAATTCAAATGAAACAGAATCAGAACCGACAGAACCGTCTCCGGGAACTTTACGATCTCACGGGAATGGTAAGTTTCATATTTTTTCACATTCAATACGCGAAAAAGAAGTGTTAGAATCTCAAAAAATAGATGATCAAAATATGAAAACGACTAAACCTTGTTTTAGGGATAATGAAAACAAATTCCTAATTCATTGAATATTGGCAATTACTGAGAATTTTTTCACTATCCCTGATGATTAGTAATGCCAGTGGTGAAAGGTCATTCTCAACTTCAAGAAGAGTGAAAAACTACTTCAGGAATTCCATGGTAGAGGATAAATTGAATATCTTATCAATTTTAAGTATTAACAGTGACATGTTATTAAATCTGAATTTTGATGATTGACGACTTTGCTTCGAAAAAATCAAGGAAAGTATTTTAGTATTCATCTGAAAAAAATATTTGTTGTTTGTTGTTATGTTTAACGTGTGAAGTAAATATAATTTGATTCGTTGTACATAATGATTTTATGCTATTGTTATATGCTGTAAAAGAAGCAGTGAAAGGATTATTTGAATTTTGAAACTGACAATTGAAAATTGAATATTTGGCGGCGGCGAGGTGGTATCGTAAAAGTTAGCCCCCGGTGTAAGGGAGTATAAATCCGGCACTAACACAGAAACCCCAACAAATCCAGAAATGTTTCATTTGGTGTTCGGAAATTCCATGAGATATTCATCATTTGGGCATCATGCATGCTTATGATTTACAAGAAACTCGGATTTCGTTTAAGGTCAAATGAGCTTGTGTGAAATGAGAATCTTGTTTGAAATGAAAAACTCACCTCCTAGAGGAAAGAACTGGGAAAATATATGTTTGAATGATTCTTCATCCACCATTCCAGTAGGACATTCCTGAAAAACATATACAAGTTTGCTTAATATATATTCTACAGTATGGATGTTTTAGGTATGTTCTATTTATATTTTCAAAGAAATCAATTGCACCTATTCCAAAGAGAATAGGAGAAAATCGAAGAAATAGGCAACGCATCATGATGCCGCTTTTCCCCTATCATCATGACGTACAGTCACCGTTAGAGAACATGTCGCAGTTGGACGGTGTCATTCAGCTCACCATCTCTCGTCGGTTCTTTTGATCTAATGGGGAATAGAAATCTGATGTCAACGACGCCATTTTGGGCGAGAACTCAGGGCCGGATTCAAGATGATTGGATTTCTGTAGACAGGATAGGATCTCACAATTTGTGATGATGATCTCGGACGATAATATACACTACAATATATCATGTAGGTATACTACTGAAGAATTTACACATTGTTCCTATTATCAATTTATTTTTGTTGATGTTTTGGATTGTCGTAAATTTTCGTGAAACATTTTTTCAAATTTTCACATATATCTCCTGAGGTATTTTCAAACGCTCTGAAACCAGATTCTTATGGGCATTCGACTATTCTATATATGGGGCGCAAGTATGAATTTCCACACATTTCTTTTATACCTTAACAGAGGACATTTTAGCAGAATATATTATGGAAACATATAAATATGTGTCCGCAAATTCTTCGTTTCTATAGGTTGTTGGTTATTTGATAAACCTTGACTTCTTCTCTAACGGAGAGTGTTCATCATATACCGGGTGTCAACGAATGTATTAGACAAGCCATAACTTCTAGAATATTGGGTGTATCGTAATGAAACTAAATATGGTTATAATATGGTCGGTGAAAAGGAAAGTTTTCGCATATTTTTCACTTTCCGGTTAATTCCGGTTTCACCGGAAATGCATCCGGTTTTGAATACTTGAGTGAAATACCCAATACGACATTCTCAGCAGTTTTTACGCCTAGGTACTTCATCTTTTTAGAATCACTTTTGATATCCCATCAAGCCGTGATCGGACGTTAACATCCAAAGACCTCAGGTGATGTCAGAAAATTATAATCGCAGAGCTTCAGTGACTAGTATGATTGATAGGAAAAATAGGGTTTCTTAGCTGTGTGCACGTCTTGATATACCGAAATAATCAAAAAGTTGTATATCGTGCAAAACATATGTTATTTAATTTCTCGTACCAGAGCGCTTTCGACTTACAGTCATCATCAGTGCGTACCTGTAAGTAAGTAATCAGCTTTTGGCTATTGAAAAAGGGTAAATTGAAAAAATGTTTTTGGAATTTAGTTTTGAAGAAAGTTAAATTTAAATAAAAAAATTAGTGAAAGTTAATGAACTTCACGCTATTGAGAAAGACATCAAAAAATTGAAAATTGAAGAATGTTGAATATGAATTTAGAAATAAGTAGAAGTGAGGTTACTTACTCGTCAGGTTGACAAGAATGATGACGGATGATTTTTTTGTCAACCTGACGAGTGAGTAACGTCACCTTTATTTCTAAATTCATATTGAGCATTTTCCAATTTCCAATTTTATGATTATCAATAGCTGAAAGTTGATTAACTTTCACAAAGGACCCCGCACTAAACTATACGGAAAATGGCTCTCGATGAAAATCGCTGAATTTTTGGTATGTTGCAGAATTTGATATACTGAACAGATATTCAATTGAACTAACCTCAAAAAATGGACAGTTTTTCCGATATTGGCCTCCAAATGTCACTTTTTCGAAAAAAAAAATGTATCTGAAAATGGTTGAATTTTTGGCATGTTGTAGATAGGAATGAACTGATTAAAAAATCCAATTGACCTAACCTCCAAAAATTGACAGTTTTCTCGATATTGACCTCCAAATAGAATTTTTCCAAGTAAAATATCTCTGAAAATGACTGAATTTCTGGTATGTTGTAGATAGGAATGAACTTATGAAAAAATTCAGTTGACCTAACCTCAAAAAATCGACAGTTTTTCGATATAGACCTCCAAATCTAATTTTTTCGAAAAATAATCTATAAAACGGCTGGATTATGTAGGTATGTTGTAGATATGAATGAACTGATGAAAAACCCCTATTGACCTTAACTCGAAAAATTGACAGTTTTACTGCTACTGACCCCTAAATGGCATTCAAACAACTGTATGAAAGTAAACCTTCAGGTCAATATCGAGGAAACTGTCAATTTTTGGGGGCTATGTCAATTAGATTTTTTCATCAGTTCATTCCTATCTACAATATGTCAAAAAATCAACCATTTTCAGATACTTTTTCTTCTCGAACAGATGACATTTGGAGGTCAATATCAGAAAAACTGTCCATTTTTTGAGGTTAGTTCAATGGAATATCTGTTCAGTATATCAAAGTCTGCAACATACCAAAAATCCAGCGATTTTCATCGAGAGCCATTTTCCCTATAGTTTAGTGCGGGGTCCTTTTCTGATATTTTAAATTTAACTTCCTTCAAAAATGAATTTCAAAAATTTTATTTCAATTTTTCTCGAGGTTTCGTGCTTTCTGTTCGAAAATGTATTTTTTCCGATCAAGGAATGATTTCATCTGATTCTCGTGCTTTCCTGTGTAAAATTCTTCCATATCGTGAGTGATTTTCGAAAAAAAAAATACCACCTGTATACAAAATATATCCCCCTTCCCCCCTGTTCAATTTTATTATTATCATTAGTCATAGATAAATCATCTGCTCGGAAATTAATCGGTTAACAGCATGATTCAACTTATTAGTCATTCATTCGGGACCAGGTGGTGAATCAAGACAGTCTTATTTCAGATGTCATCACGTATATATGGTCGAATTTTGTGATCGACACCGAAAAATACGCGAAAGGAATTATTTATCGTTCCAAACTGAGTGTTCCCTTAAAACTGGGTGATCGTATTGATTCGTTTATAGTGTTTTTGTATTCCTCATTCGATTCAATAATGATGATATCGGAAACGTGTGTTTAGTGTTTCGTGTTGTTTCATTAAAGCCTCACCTTTTTCACGCTGGTGAGTGGAGAGAAATTCTCTAAATTTTTTCCTCACATTTCCCTGTATTCATTTAACTTCATTACCCTGTACAGGGTATGTCACGACGAACTTACACTATCTTTAAATCGAGAGTCAGTCGGGAGAAATCCATAAAAATGTGCTTGCTCATATTTTGGTATACGCTCTCTTCATTCAAAATATGTGCGACAATGCAGTGTTGCCGCTTCTACTATAAAGTAGTAGCAACATTGATATTTCAAACGGAACACCCTGTATTTTATCGCATTTCAAGAGTCTCCCTGAAGAGCTGATTTTATCGATACATCATACTTGGGGTCTATCAAAAATGACTACAGAGATATAGGGTGTTCAAAATCGATATTTTTCAACTTTAGGATTTTTTTGTGTCGAAACCATTCATTATCGGTCAAAACGGCTCACATGTTCCTTTCTCAACTTTTGTTTCACTATTTACTGATATTCAATCGGAACAGATACAGGGTGGTTCAAGATTCAGAATTCTGATCACATGCATATTTTCATGGATTTCTCCCGACTGATTCTCGATATAGAGATAGCATAAGCTCGTCGTGACACACCCTGTATGTTTCGTACCGTTTGTTGTATTTTTTCCGATCAAGGAATACTTTCTCCTGATTTTCGCGCTCTCTGTTCGAAACTGTATTTTTTAAGAATCTACCATCTTCAATAACTGTGATACAGAACGTAATCTTGATTTTGGCAGAATCTTCATCGATGGTCAGGTCATAAATTTTGAACCACTGTGTATAATCGATTCATACTTGGTATGTATATTCAACTTATATTCATCATTAGGACTAAATATGGATCGAATTTAGAATCCAGATCCGTCTCCAGGCAAATCAGAAAACTTCTATTTTTTCAACAGTGCGCATCCAATTTGAAAAATAGAATTTTTAATGAACTCGTAATTCAAAGAACCCATTAAAAAAAAATTACCAGTCCTCAAATTTCAACTCAATTAGAGCCGAATTTAGTAAACTATCGATGGATTTCGATAGAACAATTTGTCAACTATTTTAGATATTTTCGAGTGCTCATTACATTTTCACACACACAAATCAATTTGGATGCGCGCTTATAAAAAGTAGACCACATTGTTCATTATTCTCCTCTTCTTTCCAGTTAGCAAAACATATCTAGATATTTTGGGAAAGATTATATTTTCAGCCTATGTTAAATTTTTTAAATCATTACACTTTCGAAAATAATACTGTCAGTATATCCGTGTTTAATACTTCATCTTATATTTTGTATACTATATAAATTTTCTCCCCGTAGTCAAAGATTATCCCCCCTCTCCCCCTAAACCCGAGAAAAATTTGTCAATCCGTATCGCTAACTGTGCTAGGCTAGGTTCCGCAACTGCCAATTTTCACAGAGAAATTTTCGTAGTCGTCAAAATTTCTTTGAAATGGTCACATACGAATTGTCAAACTCTCATTATTGTCCATATACTTCGATTGGAAATTTGTCTCGAAATACCCTGTAGTAATTGTATGATTTCCTATGGTATATTATATTTATATCCAGCCCGCATTCCTGGATAAGGTACCTAATTAGTCATACAATTTTGCCCCCCTGTTGAAATATGAATAACTTTTTTTCTGCTTTCAACAATTTGAATTCGGTTCACACTGTTCGCTAGCCCAGTCCTTCAGCTGTAAGCTCGTACTTCTTTAGAACATGAGGTTCTTCATATGAAGTCACTGAAACTGTAGATATATGAAAGTACACACTATGACCAAGTGAAGTCATCTTCAGTGATATACACTGCTTGCTAAAAGCAATGGAACCACCCACAAACATGGAATAGGCAAGTGGGCTACTTTTTTTAAATTTCTTAAATAGAATCATCACTCAAATGACTAATTCTAAATTTCATATATTTTCAGAATTATTCATTCGATTTCAAGGTCCTGAGATCAACAATAATGATCGATAATTTTCAAACGGCTGAAAATTAA